CCGCGTTTGCTCACAATTGAACAAAAACAGCGTCGTGAGGATGTTTCAATCGAGTGTTTGGCGATGTTTCGCAGTAATAAGGCAGAGTTTTTGCGTCGATTCATAACCATGGATGAAACATGGGTTCATCATTTTACACCTGAGACCAATTTTCTCCATGTTTACAAATGTACTGAGAGCGTTCACTATTGATGGCTGCCGAACTAATACTAAACAACGTAGCATGTTGAAACTTGAAACTTAAGCTTTATAAGGTTGATGCTTTCGGTAATAGTGATTTTTTTCAAACAACAACCGCCATTTATACGTCAGGTCGGGTACTTCTGGGACTACCCTCGTATTTGTCGTCGTTTTTCTAATTTCTCGACAAGAGGAGGAACGCTATCACACATGCTTTCATGCAATTGCGTTAGAACTTGTTGCGTATTATATTGCAAAACTGCTCCCGNAATTCTAGCATTGTACGAACCTCGTGCACCAAAATTAATACGCTTTCCTGCTATTAGTTTTGCTATAATTGAATTGAACCATTCGGCAGGATTATTTGTATGATTGAGTATTAAACTGTCAGAGAAGCAGCTCACATATCTGACAGCAACCTCTACTTTTTGATACAAAGCGTGCAACTTTAGATAGGGTACGTGATTTGCTTCTTTTTCATCACGTATACATGTAAGACCACGTTCTTTACATTGTTTATGTTTGCCAAAAACATGACTAGGAATGTTAATTATATCTNTTTGTAATTCTGTAGCCAATTCAAGAAAAGGTCTTTTTTCTGCTTTTCGTGCTGCAGCTGCCCCTTCGTGACATTATCGCGTATATTTTTCATATTGCTTTTCACTATATTTCTATATTTCACAAAATTTTTATTTCTCTGTCTGTTTGGCAATGTTGTTTCTGAGACGATTTTTAGTTTCTTACTCAAATTTCTGAATAAATGATTAACGCATTCTATTTTTTTACCGTTACTATTTGTTTCTGATATGGATTGTTGTCAAGAATAGATTGATACACGTTGCTATCTCCGTCAGCGATAACTGTTTTATAAATTAGTCCATGCATCTCAATACTACATTTGAATCCTTCTGCAACAACATCATTCTCCATGCTCGAAGATGCTGCATTGCGGTCAAAATTTTTGTAGCATTTATGACTTTTTGGTTTGAGACATTGTCGGTTTGCCATATCACATACAGTGCAATATTTATTGCGAATGCCAACGTACAGAACTTTCTGTGTTCGATAACCAACTATGGCACCAATACCAGACAATGAACTGTAACCAGTTCCATACGACCTCTTCATCCAACTACAATCTGCTATAACAGTTATATACGGAACACCATTGACTATTTTGTTTCTTTCTAAAGCAAGCTGTTTTTCAACTTCACCCGTTTTCTTCATTTCTGCGAGAGATGCTTCTT